TGGGCAGAGTCCCTCGCTAGGACTGCTTCCCAGGCCCAAGGAAGGGCGGGGCACTTCCATCCCAACCGCAGGGCCCTGAGAGTAGAAGACACTGGAAGAGAGGCCCTGCTCCCACAGATCTGCCAGCTCAAGGTGGGCTGAGGCTGCAGTTCTACTCTTACGGAAGCCGGGTTTCCACTCCTTACGGAAAGCCGTGTGACACTCAGCACATCGGGAGCCCCAAAGACGGGGGCAGTGACCCTGGAAGAGAGGAAGGACGGCATGGGTCTGTACCCCAGAACAAAGTTGGAGGAGACAACCTCCCAAAGCTGCCCTGAGCGGCCAAGCTTGACTCGGTCCTGCTGGCACAGACTGCCCGCCACAAGGCCCTGGGCCCAGGACCCGAGGCTGGTCATGGAACCAGTCACCCTGAGCTGTTGGTTGATGCTGGTCATCTGTGTGACCCCACAGTGTCAGGATTCTCACCTGTTTGGAGCAACCTGCCCCCAATGAGGCTCATTCTGATGGTCAAGCAACTTTCAAATACAAACTCTTATTCTTCAGTACTAGGTCCCTTAGGCACAGAGCCACAGAGAGGCTGGAAAGGGAGAAAACATTGAAAGGCCCGTTTGGACAGACTATGTGTGCCCGCCGAAATGTGGCAACCCTGCCACCTCCTGCGTCACACCCCAGATGTCAGTCCTAGGCTCGTTTGCCCATGGAGGTGCTCAGGAAGACAGGAGTTCCCCAGTCAGCACTGTGGGGTCTGCTGCCCCCACCCCCCCAGTAGGGGCCTGCACATGTACCAGCTTCCCCAGCCAGGTGCTGGCCTTCACATTTCTCTAGAGCACTAGGTGAACCAGTTCAACTAGTCTTCCTTCCTAAAAATTTTTTTAAGTCTGGCAGGCGGCTACTGGAGGCTTTCCAATGCACCGGTCAGGCCAATCCTCGTAACGAGAAAAATACTACTTTCTCTCTGCCTCACTTAGGAGTTAAACAAATTTCATCTTACAACTATCATAAATTTGCTAAAAATGTCCCCAGTTGTGCCAGCAACTTAAGAAAGCATGTATGTGTATCTGTATGTGTTTGTGCACTATGCATTCTGTATGTGTTTGTGTATCTATGCATGTGTGTGTGTAGATGGGACGTTTCCGAAGGAGTGACTCTGTGTGTGTGTGTGAGTGTGTGTGTTGGAAAGTCCTCCAGGGAAGTGACCAGGGGTGTGCAAGTGTGTGTGTGTTGGAAAGTCCTCCAGGAAAGTGACCAGGGGTGTGCATGTGTGTGTGTGTGCGCGTGTGCACAGCTGAGACATCTCCGTGGGAGTTACTGCGTGTACCTGTACACGCAGATGAGGAGTCTACAGGGTAACGAGCAGTTACAGTGAATCTTCTTAAAGAAACAAATTTCTCTCTGCCCTCTAAGCAAGCCTCACCTTGTCTCCTTTTCCAGAGATTCCACAAGCCTACACCTCATTGACTAAGTCTCTCTACATATAATATTTTTTAATTAGAAAAGGTAACATGAAACAGGTAAGGTTGGGATAATGAGCAATCACAGGAGAGGAACCAGTATATGTAATGGTTATGTTGCTGGACTCTCACATAGTTGACCATGGTTCAAGTCCCAGAGCTGGTAGCTTCAAATTTCAAATTCACACTGGATGTATGTGTGTGAGCATGCCCAAAATCCTGAGAGGAGAGTGGAGAAGGGAATGCAGCATGGCCATCCCCCCGGGGGGTGATTTCTCGCTTTCTGTCTGTCTCTCTGGTGAGCACACACACCCTACTGCAAAAATTTCTCTTTAAAAAAGAAAAAAAGAAACCATGGTGAGACTTGTTACTGACAAAACCAAAACCAAAACAAATCAGAGCTCCTGACTTGGGAGACTGGCCTATGACTCCTGCTATATCTGACTAGAACGGGCCCTGGAATACCTGGAGACTCCACCCCACCTACAGACCGCAGGTGGCCTCTTCAGAAAAGACAAGTCTGGGGTGCAGCAGATGGCGTAATGGTTACTTCGCTGGACTCCCATGTAATTGATTGTGGTTCGAGTCCCAGACCCAGTGGCTTAAATTCACACTGGGCACGTGCGTATGCATGCCCATCCCTCCCGGGGTGATTTCTCACTTTCTGTCTCTCTCTGTCTCTCTCTGTCTCTGGTGAATGCACGCACTCTATAGCAAAAACCTCTCCCCCCAAAAAAGACAAAATAAGACAAGTCTGGCTATGAGGAATCCATGCCAGCTCCTATCCACATTAGTAGTGTGCAGGGGCTGACTACTGTCTGGGAAACACTCTCATCATCTGAAGACAAATTCCACTGATAGGACCAGAGGCAGCGGGCCTCTCCACCTCTTGTGTGGGTCTCTCTGCCTCCTGTGTTAAAGTGCTGGCTCCTGCAAGAGGTCCTTGAGTTTGAAGCTTCTATCAAGGTGTCAGGGAAGTCATACGCATTTTCCCATGTGTTTTTATGCAAAAATGCATCATGACTTTTCTGACTACCCAATCATTTCCACAGATATGTGCACACATCCTGCAGAGGTGGCCTCTCAATTAGAGGCCAAGGGAAAACCAAGAACAGAACGGGGACCCAGCAGGTGGCATGGTGGTTGAGGTGCTGAACTTCCCACATGGCCGACCACGATTTGAGTCCCAGACCTGGTGGCTTGCTTTCTCACTTTCCCTCTCTCTCTCTGTCTCTCTCTGGAGAACTCTTGTGAAAGAATAATAATGATAAAACAAAACAAAACAAAAAGAACAGAACAGGAACAGCAAAGACTGTGCCTCAGGCTGGCCAGTCAACCTCTCCTTCCTCTAGAGGTCCCTGGCTCCCAGGACTCTGTGCTCATATGGAACCACCAGACCTGGTGTCTGGGCTGTCCCTAGGACTGCAAAGGGAGGAGAGAGACTGGCAGCACCAGGCACTCAGTGCTAATGCGGAGGAGGACACGAACACGTGGGTGTCATAGGCAGTTCTCTGGGGGAGGAACTGAAGACTCTCCCCTTCCCTGCTCTCTGTGTGGGTGTAAGCAGTGATTCCTTGCTGGGGCGGCCCCAAGAAGTGCTCTGTCCTCCACAGATGCTCTTGCAGAGTTCTCCCTGATGATGCCAAGAGCAGGTTCTCTCCGGCCGAGCTTCTCTGAGGCGTCTTTGTGTTCTCATCATAGCGAAGGCAGTGTCTACAGAGAACTCGCCCCACAACCCACAAGACAAAAGCAGTCCTCTGAGGTCTCTACACATGTGGGAAGACATGGACCCAGTGTTTGAGACACAGGGAAGGCTCCTCTCCTTCTGTGGTCTCAAGCAGAGATGGCTCAAGGGACAAAGCGAAGCTTGCACGTCCTTGAGAAAATGCACAGCAACAGGGCTGACTGAGCCCAGAGCAGGTGATAACAGAGCCAGGATTGTCAGTCTAGGGGATGAGGAAAGGCTGCTAGCTGGGGAGAAAAGGGCCTTCCTGGACACCAGGTAGGACACGGAGGAGGAAACGCTGGAGCGGACACAGGGAACAACTGCCCTACAGCTGGTCTTCCAGTCTGAGCAAGGTTACCAGACTGCAATGGAGCTGAGACACACCCCCCTGCATCCAAAATCTTCTTGGCCAAGCAAGTAATTAAGTTCTCTGCTCAGGAGAACTGAGCAGATGACTATGTCAGATTGACTCCCAGGACCTCTCTGGAACCAGAAGCCCTCCCTAGGCTGAGGCTGTGGGGAGGAGCACATCTGGGGTTGAGAAGACTGTAGGGCAGAAGCCCAAGGAACACCTGTGAGGAGAGAAATTCTCCCCAGGAAATGGTCACCATCAGGATGAGGGCTAAATGCTCCGGTCCTCAGATGCTCGGAAACTCTTGAGCTCTTCCTACCCCCTGCTAGGTGTGATCTGAGAAGGTGGGCCCAGCGCGGCCTCCTCGGGACCACTGCCTGTTCTGGAGAGGACCTGTTCTCTGATGAACGTGGTTTAGAGACCAGAATAAGCCCGAGAGAATGGAAAACCAAGAGGGCCCAGAGCAGCCCTGGCTGAGCAACGCTGAAGACAAGCCAGTCTACCCCGGAAAACCAAAAGGAAACGGCGGTCCTACGTGTCACGGCAGCTGTAACTTCCTAAGCACGACGATGCTCCAGGCTGCTCTGGAGTTTTCCCTGTACTGTAGTATCATGCTCAGTTCTGACAACCCTAGGAACAATGGATTGCTACCCTCACTTCGTGAGCCAGAAGGCTGAGGCTCCACTAAGCGGAGCAACCTGCCAGTGAGGTGGAGGAACACCTGTCCTCAGATTAGCTGGACTCCAAATCCTTACCCACAGCATGCCAGGCAGGTGCTGCCACTCATGTAGTCCTCAGAGATGCCATGACAGGGCAAGCTGGGTGTCATGGAAACCCCTGGCCTGTGGTCCACCCCCTGCTTTTGCATTGCTCAGCACTGAGATGCCTTCCAAGGTAGGAGGCAGGAAGGCCTTGGGGGAGCCACCAGGCCACTGGTCAGCACTTTTAACCCCTACAGGGTGTCCACGTATCACACCTAGTCCCTCGAGCTCTCTGCACAGGCAATCACTGGGCTAAGTCAGATGTTTGCCTGAGTCACAAAGTGAGGAAGGGACAAGCAGGCATCCTGGACTCTGTGTGCACCCTCAGTACTCAGACTCCATCCCTCGGGCCCTCTGGAGCTCTCGAGCCAGTCCAACAGTCGGGTATGTGAGTGGGTGAGGATGACCATGACTCCCAAGCATAGTCCACAGAACCCAGGGTTCAGAGGACAGAGAACGGCTGAGCAGTCCAAGGGCCTAACCGGCACTGCTGGCCCAATCACCAGCCTTCCTTCCCTGTCCCACTCTCCTCCCTGACTCGCACACCAAAGCTTCCGGGAACAGCCAGTCCCTCGCCACTGCTCAGACACTCTTGCCAGAAGGCAGGGTAAAATATTGCACAATGCCACCTGCAGAGGGTCCCCCAAGAACTGTCTCCCGCCCCCCACCACGGATGCTGAGGAGACTGATGAGGCAGGTCAGGCCCTTACCGTTGTAGGAGAGGCGAGGTTTGCTCAGACACATTATAAAGTGCATTTCCATCTCATCGGAAGCCACAGACTTGGAGCAAATGGGGCACTTGAAACCTGAAAGACAGGAAAACAGGATGAAATGTTCTCTCCAAACCCAGCGTATCCGCTGTAAGTGTGGACTCTCTCAAATGACGGCCAGGTGAGGTCAGTATCAACGTGGACACTGACAATCTGCACGAACCCAGGCCTGACTGTCCCTCGTTAAGTCTTTGAGACTGCTGCCTTTTTATTACAGCCTCATTTCATTCCCAGCTTTCACTAGGGATCTGTCACATGCCCCTTGTTAGCGTTTAACAGAAGTCAAAGACACCCGATTTCAGTTTTATTTTCTTTTAGACACTTTTTCAAAGGGGTCTAATGGACAACAGGATTGAGAGGCAGCAAATCAAGGCACTGGAACAATCGGCCTTTGAGTGATAGCTTACTATCCTTCCTCCTCAGCCCACATCCCACGACCAGATCGGCCTTGGGAGGAGTCCTTGCAGTCATCGGTACTGCCATGCCTCCGCCAGCTCAGCCTCCTCACCCACCTCCAGCCAGGTGGCAACTGCATCCCTCGCCCATAGCACACTTCCCTCCTGCATGGCTAAGTCAGCTGTCCTCTGGGAAGTGTGGGAGTGGCGGGTGGCTGTCCAGAGTGCTCCCAAAGGCCATGTGTGCCTTGGCCAAATGCCACTAAAGATAAACAGCTGTTTCATGGTGCCAGGGAAATACAGGGCATTCTGATCCTGCCATCTTAGTCTCGATGAAGTCTGGACTGTTTATACACCAAAGAGCTTCGTCAAGATGGTATCAATATTGGAGAATTTTGGTTGAGAACCTTCTAAGTTGACTGCCATTAAGTAAAACAAACCCCTTGGTCTGTTTCTTATACGACACAGATGAACTATTTCCATTTAACTTTTATAGAAATGACTTCAGGTGGACTGATTTGTCTCCATGTGTACTCTACCAAAAAGACCTGCTCTTCCTGAAAACTTACACATTTATCTGCATCAAACTGCACTTCTCACCACTGCTTCTCCCTTCCGTAAGTATGATTCAAACAGGTCCAGTCTGGCCTTTCTAAGAAAGTATATCCAACTCCTATTGTGAAGATTTAACTCCTCTGTTGTCAAACATTTTCATACACCATTTTATCTGATGCTGGTAATAACCGTTGGCAACATGTATTTCTTTCTTTTTAGAGAGATTTTTGCTATAGGGTGTGTGCATTGAGAGAGAGAGTGAGAAATCCCCTCCCAGAGGGGAGAGCCATGTCGCAATCCCTTCTCCTTCATTCTCCTCTTGGGATCTCGGGCATGCATGCACGCACACTCCCAGCGTGAGTTTTAAGCTGCTGAGTTCGGGACTGGAACTGCAATGGACTATGTGGGAGTCCAGCAATGTAACCATGACACCATCCGCTGGCCCCCCATTAGCAAAATTTCTTATGAACAGATGAAGGATCCAGCATGCAAGCTGGCTGACTGCTGTTCCAGGACAGTGTTCATACCTCCACCAGCATCCCTCAGATGGGTGCCTCGCTAACTCTGGACGCCCCAGCGAGCTGGAGGGAGTAGGCAGGCCGACACTACTACTACCAAAGTCTTCTCCAAAGCCATCTTTTTTTTTTTTTTTGCCTCAAACTATAGGGTCAAATAGAAAATCCAGGGTCTGTTCAACTACACACAAAGCAGACACTTGACTCCACAGCGTAGTCCCCACCGGCCCAACCCTGCTCCTTGCTTTCTTAGCATCTCAGCTAAAAAGCCGTGGAAATGCAACCAAGCTTGATTCTAACCAAGTTTTGAGAAAGGGCTGTATTTCTGACCTCTGGGTAGCTACAAACCCATTAGTAACAAAACCACAAGGCTGAAAAGAAACATGGGGACCCAGAGAGGAGGGATTCCACCCCCAGTTTCCTGGCAGAACTGCACCTAAAATACGCCAGACTGATTATTTCCTAACCCAGTTTAGAAACGTGCAGACCCTATGTCACACACTTGATGGAGACAGGAGTGTCACAGAATGAAGATGCTCTTCACAGCCAACCTAAGTCCCTTTGCATTCTCATCACCTTTTCTATCTACCCCCCAATTCCAAAGACCAAGGTTGTGCACCACTTTATGTGGCCCCAGGACACTGGCTCAGCTGGCACTCTGTCTACAAGCTCAGACTGGGGGCTGTGGCTGGAGGCCTTCGTCGTGAGGAGTTAGAGCGACCTGGTACTAAGAAACCTTACCCCTCGCAGGTTACTCACTCTCTTCTGGTAACTCAGAGCGGATTCAAGGTTATCCCTATAATAGCATCATTCACTTCGCTGTATTTCAACGAGGTTCCTTGAGAGCAGGAGAGGGAAGTTACAGCTGAGGTGCTGGGAAACAGGCCACCTAGCCGGAAGGGTCTACAAGGAAACTCGTCAGACATTATGTCTCAGGGGAAAAAAAGGTTGAGACTCACAAGTTTAGAGTAATCCCTTCGTCATACAGAGGAGGGAATAGGCCTGGGAGCCGGCTGGGGTGTGCAAGGTCATATTCCTTTAGGGAAGGAAGCTGATGACAGGGTCACAGGAGGAGGAGGGCTGGAAGCCACTCAGTAGGAAGAGATCTGTTAACTTCAGTGGGGTGAGTACCATACGTACCACCTACCTCCAAGTAGCTCTGTTTTATTTTGGTAAGGCTCAAGAATTATGAGGGGGTCTTCAAAAAGTTCACAGAAAATGTGCATTAAAAACAAACAAAAACCAAAACTGGGACCAGCACTTGGCGTTAATGGCTATGTCGCTGGACTCCCATGTAGTTGACCATGGTTCGAGTCCCAGACCCGGTGGCTTAAACTCACATTGGGCATGTGTGTGTGCATGCCCAAGATCCTGAGAGGAGAATGAAGGAGAAGGGATTGTGGCGTGGCCATCCCTCCAAGGGTGATTTCTCGCTTTCTGTCTCTCTGTCTTTCTGGTGAGCACACACTCCCTATAACAAAAACCTCTCCAAACAAAAACAAAAACAACCCCCCTCCCCCACTATTTATGGATTACAACTTTTTTTTTCATCAAAAAACAAACTTGTACTTTCTTTTTGGTGAGGGTTTTTTTTTTTTTCTTTTTTTTGAGAGAGGTTTTTGCTATAGGGCGCGTGTGCTCGCCAGACAGACAGAGAGATAGAAAGCAAGAAATCACCCCCCAGGGGGGATGGCCACGCCGCAATCCCTTCTCCTCCATTCTCCTCTCAGGATCTTGGGCATTCATGCACATGTGCCCGGAGTGAGTTTAAGCCACCAGGTCCGGGACTTGAATCGTGGTCGACTACGTGGGAGTCCAGCGACATAGCCATTACATTAACTGCTGGTCCCGGTGAGGTTTTTGCTATAGGGCGCGTGAGCTCGCCAGATAGACAGAGAGATAGAAAGTGAGAAATCACCCCCCAGGGGGGATGGCCACGCCGCAATCCCTTCTCCTCCATTCTCCTCTCGGGATCTTGGGCATGCATGCACACGCACCTGGTGTGAGTTTAAGCCACTGGGTCTGGGACTAGAACTGTGGTCAACTACGTGGGAGTCCAGTGACATAGCCATTACGCTCGCTAACTGCTGGTTCCTCCAAACAAGCTTGTACTTTAATTCCACCTTTCCACAAACTTTCTGAAGTCCCTTTGTAACTCAGGGTCATTATGTGAATGGAAAATGGCAGAATGACCTGGGTTTTCTAGCCTGAAGACCCTAGCAAGTAATTTACCCATCTTGGGGACCTCAGTTCCTCCTCTAAAAAAAGGGGCATTTACTTCATTTTTGCAAGGATTAAATGAGGTAGAAACATGTACACACTCTGAAAATAAGCTAATCAAATGTAGGCTCCATTGTTATCAAGCCTGGCAGCACTTAACAGGGAGGAAGGAAAAGGAGGACTCAAGGAAGGATGTAGGTGGGCTGAGTTCCTGCGGGAGTGATGGACCAGCAGGAACCTCAGGAAGGGCATAGTGGCCGTAAGCCCTGCACAGTCTGCTAGGGGGCAGCCAGTAGCCATGTCTCTGCTCATGTCTGCTTGACCCTGTCAATGTTTTGCTGAACCCTGTCACTGTTTCTGAATTCCCAAAGTACTCTGCACTTCAACTGGCACTTTTCATACTGCGCATGTGGAAAGAGATGTCTGTATGCACTAAGTCATTACGATACTATGGACAGCCACTGTGCTTTATCTGTCTTCTCATTTCCCATAATATAAATGGAAGGGAAGTGCCACTGTCAACTCTACTTTCCAGGGGAGGACATCAAGGCCCAGAAAACTGAGTAACTTGTTTGAGGTTAATGCAGCCAGAAAGAGCCAGAGCTGGCACCTGACACTCAGAGAGTTTGCCATTGAGTCCTATCCCTTTCCCCAGCTGTGCTGACCAGAGAGGGGACTGGGGGCTGGGGTGGATGACATGGCAAAAAGGACACAATCACAAGATATTACTGAATACTCATTTCAAACCTTCTACATTGTCCCAGCAATTTCTCCTCAAGCACCCATCGTTCTGAATAATCCTATGACCTGAAAGAATGAGTAATTTTTTTTCCTGGGAATTCTGTTAACATGGAAGGACAGGGTTCTTCTTTCCACTTGTCACTGAGCCAAGAGCACTAGTTGTGAGACGCTGAGCTTGCAAATTACTGTCCCTTTTAGATGGAACATAAAGGGCAAAAGGTAAGAGGCACAGGAAAATATGGGGAGCTCAGGGGAAAACACTAATGAGCCCACCTTCTTGCCTGGCAGGTCATCTGATGATCAAGATGGATTCTATCACTCTACTGGCCCAACGTTTTCTTGTAATTGTCCAGTCATGATTCAGCACCAACGACCTTATGGCATGGTGAATATTATAATATTTATGAGCTATCTGAAGGTTAAAACACCTAGGAATTTTGATTCTATTTTGTAAAAACATCACACTATATTAAAATCAGCCCTGCTAGCAAAGCTAAGCCAAAGGTCTGCAAAGTCACCAATCCACACCACTGTGTCAGATTTCCTAAGGGCTCCACCAGCACTCAGGAAGAGTGGGTGAAGAGAGGCTTTATTTCCCTTTTGAGGGAAA